AAGTAAGGACTTGTGTCGCTAAAGTTTCGTCGGAACGAAGTTACGGAAAGTTAATTAACAAACGGAGACATAACAATACCTTGTGACTGCAGATCAATTATTCACTACCTACACACACATTATCATTGTCCCGTCACGTTGTCACCCTCTTATATATACCAGACTACCCTATATCTAGTAATCTCCCGACACTTCCCGAAGGTTCAAGAGAACGAGTCACGCGACCTCGCTGACGCAACATAATGAAATATTAAGTTTTATTGCTGCAAATAAGAAGAAAATGATTCGCATTCTGGGATTTTTTTCTTACATTATGACTCCCCCCTGCTCCTTCCTGATAGGTCAGCGGTAAAACAGTGAGATGATAACGCAATAAATTGGGTTTCAATACCCACAGTGAGCAAAGCATATCGTGTAGATTTGTGCTTTACAACAAAAAACAAACAAAATAAATTATGGATCGTTCTATCCTACTATCATTTACGTTTACATTCACATTTAAAAAAATTATAGTTGATGTAATTTCGTATTTTCAGATGCATTCGTTTCTAATTTTTGTTTATGACAATAAAAGGTATTATTAATATATGCTGAAACAATGCCCATTATTTAAGGATTTACATTCCAAGTTACTCGCTGCTTTACTAATGACGGATTGTGTCCCATTTTTAACATAATGTTGTAACGTATTGTTGTAAGCTGTATTTCAATGTTTTAATTTGACGTTAGCTATAGAGCGCATGAAGTTAAGATCGATAAATATTGACTAATATCTAGGCACGGGTGCGTTAATTAATAGGGATTATTTCAGTGATTTAGATTTCAGTGAAGTATTTAATGAGAAGTTAGTGTAGTGTTCAGTTCAGTGTTAGTTATCGCGTATATTCAATTACACAATTAATTAGCTGTGTAAAAGTAAGTTTACTTGTACATTAGTCGTAGTACCATTAGAAAGGTATCCTCTGCGATGTTATTGTTGTGTATCTACTTGTTTGTTAATTTCCACTAGAAATTATTTCCGAGAAACTTCAGCGATACAAGTCCTTTCTTAATTAAAACTAGTTTATTCTTTCTCGATACAACTTTGCAATACACAGAATTTCCACAGTCAATACGTTTGCGATCTCGATAACAAAACACACTTTATATTACCGTCACCACCGCTCGCTTGACTCAGTTATCTGTCTCTATATCTATCTATCTGCCATTATATCTCCGCTTTATTTGCCGGGCTATATATACTAAAAAAGAGGGCGTCTGGAACAGACTAGAGTTGCCAGGAAAAGTCATGATCCTTCTAGAAACTCCAGCTCGCATGTTTCCAGCGTCGCGTGACTTCCGCTGTCGTAACATTATTATACACTTAGGCCTACAACAACGTTCAAATAAACGTAGCCTGTAAAAACTTAAAAGAAGAAATAAACTAATTTGTGACCTAGATTTTGCATTATTTTCACCAAATAACATAAAAGAACGTGCCCAACAAAAGAGAACGTCACAACATTTGTGTCAGAATTGCGATTATTCCAACGAAAATAATAAAAAAAAAATTTGAGTATACTTTAATTTCAAGATGACTACAATTCGATCATGAATCGAGATTGAAACGTTGCTAGAAATGATGAAACAGTTTGAAAAAGGCCAAGAAGAAGTAGAAAGAAAATTAAAAGACGGTCAAAAAGAAAGATAGGAAATTAGAAGAAAGAGACAGAAAAGTAAACAAAGATCAAGAAGAAACAGGTGGGAAATGAGAAGAAAACGACAAAAAGTTAAAATAATATCAATAATTTTTGATATGGGATATTAGAAGAATGAAACAAGAAAAACTAAAAGAATGAGGTAAGAGACGTAAATTTAGGAGAAGAATTAAAATAAAGGGATGAAATATTTAAAGAAGGATTAAAGATGAAACATATATGATTGAAGACAAGGTTTATGAAGCTATTGGAGACGTACAGAGGGATTACAATAATGAAGTTGAAGTACAGAAAGTTGTAGTACTGAAACTGAAAAAGTACAGATAGCTTGTAATGATAGAATCAAAGAAGTATAAAGAAGATATCACTGAGGTAGAAAAGAAATAGTAAAGGAAAAGGTTCAATTATCTACATCTATTTCTGTATCTGCTCAAGAATTCCAACCAAAAATACCATTTTCTTCAAAGTATAGAATAGGAGAACCTATTTGGCCTACATCTATTACAACTACTGCCGTGTCATTTATTACAACAGGACATTCCTAGACTACTCCAGCAATGTCAAAAACAAATCAAGTTCCAGAATTTAGTTGGCCAATTCAATAACATCATCTGATTTAGTAACTAACAAACTATGATGGAAAGGTATCATGGGAAACACCCAGACTCAGTTCAGAATCGTTTCCAGAGTGAATTAGTGCATCAGTGAACAGCATGCTATTAATGTTGCTGTCCATTTGAAAGAATTATCTTTAATGACATTAAGTAACCTTCCAGCATTAGAATCTGCTTTATCCAACATATTTGGAATGAATCACCAAGAAAGTATTTAAACA